TCGAGACCCTACCCAGAGATACTATCACATATAGTTTATATAAATTGAAGTACTTTTATAGTATACAATATTTATTATTTTTAATACATCTAATTCTCATTTATCATTTAACCAGGAGGAGCAGAAGCAGTGGAACGTCTGAACGAGTCTGGTGAACTGAGGCGCCTGCTGAGGCCATACCGTTGTTCACCAGAAGCGCTGACGCCTTGTCGAATTTGTGGTGGTTACAGGCTGCTGCCCTGCCAAGTCTGCAATGGATCCAAAAATCCGTTCATAGGAACCATTTTACCGCCGAATTTGTCGCACTTAAGTGCATGAATTGTGATGAAGTCGGTTTAGTAGCATGCGAGTCATGTTGACCCCGACTCCGATGAGAAGTGTGATCGAATTTAAGTATAATAGTTGCATTTTTGTTTTTTTTATTTAACCAGTAGTGGGCTACTTGGCCTCATACTGCATACAACTGGAAAACCGTTTATATTTTGGCGCAAAACCATTAAACATTTTAAAATCTTTTACTTTTCTGCATTCAAAATAACCCTTTCAAAATATTAGCAAGTTCATTAAATGAATAAAGTAATTATATATAATAATCGTAATAAATCAGAAATACAACTTGTCTGTAACCTGATTATACTAAGACCAAAAAAATATTAACAGGTGCACAAAAATTTGTTTTAACAGTAAGTAACCTAGGTAGACCAAGCTTTAATATGCACAGTATATCAGGGTGGATTTAATGAGCTTAAATTTTAGAGAGTTTGAAAAAAAATATAATTGATTACTCTCTATGTGAAACTTCTGATATTTGAAAATTGCCAGTCGAAACCGAGACACTGATAAATAAATTTCAATCAGCATTTAACGAAAGCGTTGTCCCAAAATTCTTTGAAAAATGAAAATGAAGATCTAGTATAAAACTTGATATCGATTGATATCTATAATTATCTACTTCAATAATTTAGACTGCCGTACTTACATTAAATTTTTGAAAACTGCCATAAACTTTATACTTCTTTCCTATGTAGAACAATATCAACATAAACTAATTTTTTTATGAATCTGGATGTTGAGATAAACATACTCAAACAAATTTTAATTTAACACGACATAATATTGTGAATCGTGTATATATTATATATATATATATATATATATATATAATTTTCACAAATTTATATTAAACGTTCTTGGTAACAATTCATGTTATCAAGTTCGTAATCATAAAAAATTTACTAGAAATAAGTGTGCTCTATAATCATAAATAAATTATCAAAACACGAGGAGAAAGAAATTAATATAAAAGAGACATGATAAATAATATTTTATTAATAATTATAATTACATACAAAATGTTTTTCAAAAATTCAGACCACGTCAGTGTAACTGTAAACTATATTAAAAGTTTATCAAGAACGCTAAAGCACTTAAGAAAATAACTCATATAAATAAATATCTTAATATTGTGAAAAAAATAATTGCCAAGAGAATAGTATTTCTTTTTACAGGGTTTTATTATGACTTTATTATATTATTGTTATAGTAGTATAATTTGCTGTGCATTAATTGCTTCTAGATTTTTACCAATTTGTAAATATGGATACGGTGGAAGAAAGATAGTTATAATTATAAAAAAGCTGTTACATATATTAAATTGTTTTTAAATAATTTTTATGTTATATCTGTATCTTCAAAACAGTAGAAAATGATATTTTTTTCTACCAATATGGTAGATTTTTTACTGAACATGATTACTATATTGAATATAATTATTTCTAATTGTAAATATTTTTGTAAATTAACTTTCTTATAATAAATATTTATAACAAAACTTATTTGGTTTAAATTATATCACACTATACTCAATGTTCAGAAACGAAACAAACTGATGAGAAAATAATCACATTTGAATGAATTTGAATATTCGCTTTAATAATAGGCAAACTATCATTAAATTTCCTTACAATATATTTTATCTATCTATATGAGGTTCTTCTGGAATTGAATTCTTCTTGCCTTTTTCACTTGATAATCTGACCATTTTAGACTTCTGTTAGCATTTACATTGTTGTCACTAACCTATATTTAATTTTTAACTTCAGTTTCATTTTGTAACGATATTATATAAAATATACGTTATACGTTATAAAATAGAAAAAAAATCAAATACTTTATTCGCAAAAACGACGATATTTGACACGTTTTAGGCACATTTTTTAAATATAATATATTTATATAAGTATTGAATGTTTTTTCGAAGTTGAAACATTTTTGTTATATAGCGACCAATTCGTCGAATTAATATTAATTAATATTATAATAATATACTGAATATTAATATTAATATATGATTAATATACTTAATATTATAATATTATACTGACTATATTCTTCCTACGATTGGCACTTGATATGAGAAAATAATACATATATAGTAATAATAATTCCTATCAATAGAAATCAAATGTTTTTGAACCATTCAAATCGGTTGATCCGTGCGCCCGAAAACGTGAACGAAAAAATGCGGACACACAAAATACACTCACACACACACATCCATTTTTCTGAGTTGTGCCAAAATGTTCAGAAACTTCTGAAACGTAAAGATATGCAAAAAAAATTATTTTCGATTTTCAACCCATTACTATAACTTACCCTACGGGAAGTTAATAAAGAAATATTTATGAAAAAGCTCTCCAATAGTTATATATATTAATAATATATACATTTACTTATTCAATCAGCATATTTTATAATCATAACTTCCAATTATATACATATCAATAAGATATACATTTACCATTCAATCAATATGTATTATAATCAAAGCGTACTAAACTAATTATGTAGCCCTATATATAGGACGCGCTCTGATTTTCAATCTACCCAAGTAGATGTTTTGGTTTAAGTCATAAAATTAAAACATTTTCGATAAAAAACTCAATTGAACACCAAAACATAAGAAAAAATAAATAAATCGCCAATGAATAGAATAAACGTTTGTAACCACAGTGCCCAAGTATCAATTTCATATGGAGCTATAATTAAATTATATTCCTATTTACAGTTATTTCTAAGCCTACCTACAGACTATTCAATTAAGTACCTCCCTGGTACTAAATAACTAAAGATTAGGACCCTTGGCTCCTGTGAATCAACAAAAGGCAGAACATTATTGTCGGACTATCTGCTCTCGGAAATCACTAGATACTAGGGCTAAGCTCGCTGGCTCAGTCGCGGTTAGTTTGTATAGAGTCGACGTCGAAAGAGGTTGGTGAAGGAATTAATAAAAATTCAAAAGTGCAACTTTTTATAATTATAATAATAATAATTAGTTCATAAAAAGTTATAAATTATGTTTATTCAAGTTTTAAAGTTTGAGATTTGAAATAAAAAATATCGTGCGAATTAAGTTATGTCGTGTAGTGTTGTGATGGTAAAAACACAAGTGAAAGAAATGTTTGCAAACGTGTGTTTTGAATTATTGGATTAAGTTGTAGTTATCAATTATATGTAAGTAATAACAACTATTTATTAATATATATTTAATACATAATTATCATGAGCTATAGTTTTTGATTATCAACTTTTTTGCTTACTTCATTGATAAAATATGAAGTTTAAGACGTCAATAAAGCAAGGATTTAATAATAAGCTATAACTATTGATTCTCAAAATATTTCCAAAATTTATTTATAAAAAATGCAGTTCAATATATTAATATAACGAGAATAAATTAATAATAGGATTTTTCTAATGCAAATTAAATTTAATAAGACATAGATTTCGATTATAAAAATATTTTTATGTATATTTATGTTATTACTTATTTATTAGATGTTAGATGTATTATTAGCAGTCCTAACAGATATTGTAATTAAAAAAAAATTAAAATAGATTATGCACTTTAAAAAAAAAAGGAGCATGAATAATTAATAATAGCTATTGTTTTTTATTACAAAAATGTTTTGCCTCCTCTATTAATAAAATATGCAGCTTCTATCTTAATATAACGAAAATTTTATTAATAACAAGCTAAAGCTTTTGATTATTAAAATGTTAATTTGGTGTAGAAATTATGTTTAATTTAGTAATCGAAACTTGCACAAATAATGCATATATAATAAAAAAAAAAAAAACAAGTAAATAGAGAACGGGCCAATGAATGTACTCTAAATTGAGATTTTATTAGATTTATTATAAAAACAAAATTTAAAAATATATTGACCATTTTCTATATATTTGTTCCAATTATTAACTTTTTTGAAACGTCCAAAAATCGAAAATGAACATTTTTGCGTATCTTCACGTTTCAGAGGTTTTTGAAAAATGGATGTATGTATTCATTTGTGTAACCGATTTGAAAAATTCAAAAAACCTTCGATTTTGCCTTAAAGCACGATGCCATGCGCCAGTAGTTCATTTATCCACCAGTTATCCATTATTTCCATTTCACAAAAAAATCAGATAAATAAAATAAAAGCAAGAATGCATCAATTCATCCACTACATTGCAACATAGTTAAAAAAAATATTTTCCAATATACCCCAATTTTATAAAGCTTTTGCCGGGTTTGATAAAAATGTGCTATTGTTGAATAATAATACAGGGAAGATATTGAAACATGCAATAATATATGTATACACATATATTTAAATGCATTAAAAACTACCATGCATTATGTAATATAGCAATAATTTAATTAACACTGTTTAATAGTAAAACCGTTGACCGATGATAAAAGTGCAATAATTTACGTAAATAAAAACTTTATGAAGTTACTGATTATATATATTTTTTTGTGTGTGTGCCTGTGTGTTAGTGTTTGTGTGAATGTATAAATTGCATATTTTCTCACCATTAGACCATTATTCAGGTACCATTTACCATTTTCTCCTAATCTGGTAGAGATTAAAAATGGAAGAAACATGGTATGCAGCTGCGCAAATTGGGGTTAATAAAGGAGCAATTGCAATCTTCAACGATTCTATGAAAAACTCACAAATCATCAGTTATCCACGCTATGCAACGATATTTGCTTCTGTTTGTGCCATATTATTTATTATTATAGGAGTTTTAGGTAAGTTATAATAATTGTTCGAAAAATATATTTAAGGTTTTTCTATAGTTGATTGGTATGCGACATCGACCTTCTTTTATGTCTGCTTGCATATTTAAAAAATTAATAAACCATTTTAGCAAATGCTATCTTGGTACAAAATCGTACATTTTATTAAGTGATGTCACGAAAAAATTGTCTTTAATTAATTAAGTAATAAAAATATTCCATTAATCAATTTCAGGTAACTTAGTCACCGCTTTAGCTTTAATTTGCTGCCCGCGTTTGAGGTCGCATGCGACAACAGCGTTTGTTTTATCACTATGTGTATCAGATCTTATTTTTTGCTCCATAAATTTGCCGCTGACAGCAGCTAGATACATACACGAGGTTAGTAGAAAAATAGTTTAAATTAATAAAAAAATGAAAAATATCCATCTTGTACTAATTGAATAAATCTCCACTCCTTAGAGGGATTAAATAATGCCTTTAAAATACACAAGTATTAAAATTTATAAAATTTAAATTTTCTAGAGCAATTCTTACATTAATTATTATAATTGAATATTGAGGTGATTGGCGGATCGCCCAACTCATTTTCACCCATTTTGCCTTAAAAATAGAAATATAAGAAATTTTCATTATAATCAAATAATGACGTTTCCATAGAGTTAGGTTTTATTATGAATTATTTCGTTTAATGTCATTTTGAGTGTATAAATGCACTCAGCTGCGAGCATAAATTCAAATGAAAGAAGCCTATGTCTTGCACGCACAATGGGCGTCGATTGATCCCTGGTCAATTGACTTGGCAGGTCAAACACGGGGTTAATTTTAATTCGTCTCATATATATGACTAACAATCCTAGGAAATTTAACTGAAAATATTTCAAAGTATCACGTCATACGAAGGAATGAAAAGTTTAATTAAATTTACCTATCATTTCTAGTAAAATTTAAATTGTAACTGAACGTTGCATGAACTTTTCAACATAAAACGCATACACATATATTTTTTCCAATTTTCAAATAGTCACTATTTTGTGAAAAAAATTGATGTATAAAAGTATTTTTATTATATAAAACTATTCCCCCCTGTCAGAGATGTAATGCACAAATAATAAGAAAGTTTGGTCGATTTGTTAATCTCTCATTTTGTATATGGACACAGCTTGCAAGAGCAGAAAAGATAAACATACAAAGGACAGTTTTATGGTCCATAGAAAAATATTGTAATCCGATACAAAAAGATCAGTTATCTGTAGAAAACCTCGTGGTGATATTTATTTTATCAAATAATATTTAATTGATAAATAAACATTAATAATTTTAAATTATCCGTATCAAATTCTCAGATAGTATTTTAAAATATAGTATTGAAATTGTGTTTATCTTGATACGTTTCGTCTTAATGAATATGCATATAATTTCTATTATTTCAAAGAAGTAATAAGAATCCATAATGAATATTATTCGAAAGTCTGCAAATTTATAATAAATATTTTTCCAGTTGCAATTATAAGATAATGAAAACGCTTATTTTAAATTCAACAATATAATTATCTAGGTTTATGATTGCTGCTGATAATAAGTATAAAAGATTTATATTTATAATTATAGAAATACCTAATTGTTTTGGTATTTTATGCGCATTTCTTTTTATCAATAATATTAACAAATACATAAATATTTATAAATAATGAAATATTCATAAGTTTATTTAAATTTTTTAAGCAGCTAATTATGATTAATTTATAATAGTCAATAATAAGAAATAAACAATTTTAACGTTTAATAAATCATATTAAAAAAAAAACAAGATTAAGATTTTTAACAAGATTTTCCCAACGTTTCTAGCCATTTTGAATCGTTTGAGACCAAAATTTAAAAAAAGTATGTTGTTTAGTGTATGTGACCCGAAATTGAACCGAAAGTAGTTTATTTTTGATTATTTTTTCTCGAAGAGTCGTTTTGTTAGAATTTGCAAAAAATTGCAAAAACAATTTCGATGGTTTCGCAAAAAACTCTAAATTAATTTTAAAAATTTAAAAACCATTCTTTTAACTTCAATGTAATTTCTTTATTCCTAAATACAATATAAAAAATTATAGCTAATTTACTAAAAGCATTAAGGAAGTGCCATTTGTCTACAATAATTTGAGAATATTTTGCTCGATACCAAAAACATTAATTTCATTAATTAATGAATTAATTCTAATTTCTTTCCTCAATATGAGATATTAATAAATGATGTTAGCTAAGTACATAACAAAATCGTCACAAAACTAACATCGCAAAGTGTATTGTGTATAATGTAATATTACACCATAAGAACAAAGTGTCTTTTTAGAAAATAAATGCGGGAGTTGAAGTGATACCACTTGCATTTTAAAACATTTTTATTTTATGTTTTTGATGAATTAAATTTGAAAATAAAAAAAAAATGCTTTACAAAAAAATCTAATTGATCACTGATTTTGAAAATAAAAATTTAATATATTCTAATAAAAGCCAAATATTACATAAGACAATACATTGAAAATAATGTTAGAAACCAAAAGAAACCTATTACTGTTATTCTTAATTAAATTTACCCACATAACTAATAAAACGATGTAATCTTAATACAATGCATACTAGTGCACTTGAAATAATTTAGTTTTCAGATAACATCACTCGATGGTCTGTGAAGTGCTTTTAAGTTCAAGTTTTATTTATTAAGCAATCGAATTAGTTATCTTGACTAATTGCATTGCATCTGTCGAAAATGCTCTTAATTTAATTAAGAGCAGTTGTTAAACATAACAAGGAAATAAACATAATATTGTACCGAATCATATCCGAAAATGAAGAAAAATTATTTACAATATTCAAATCTACAAATTTCTTTTTACAGACCCATAACATAAATCTAGTGCAATAAATGCGCTAATTTCATCTTTTTCATATATACAAAAGTTTAATATTTTTAATAAATTTATTCTAATTTATTTTAGGCTTGGACCTTAGGAGACGTTTTATGTCAGCTGTTTCCAGTATTATTTTATGGCAATGTTACCGTATCCGTTTTAAGCATGGTGGCTATAACAATCAACAGGTAATTCAAAAAAAATCTAACTAAATAATCATTATTCACAAATAATAAATTATAATCCGTTAACATACTGTACTAACGTAATATTCAAAAATGCATGATTCTTATTTAATTGTATATTTTGTTGTCCAAAAAAGTTAGTTGTATTCTGTAACCATTATTCTGATTCAATCCGTTACCAAGTTTTTTGATGAGGCAAAACAAAATTTGGTAAATTTGTCAAATCTCTAACAATAAATCTTAATTCGAATTAAAAATGTCAAAAAATTACAAAGAAGCCGTGGTATGCAACGTTACAGTTGAATTGAACACGCTATTTAGAAGTTTTTCTTTAGAGCATCACCAGATGTTCTTCATTTACAAAGAGCGCATTTGTTCCATTGCTCCGAATGCATCTGCGCTTGATAACTTTGACACGGTATAATAATAAATGAAAAAAAAAATCAAAGAAAACCATATAAGTCTTTTTGACAATAGTTACTTTTATATTATATAAATATTAGTTAAAAAAAATCGAAACTTATATGGATATAGTGTCCATTTGCTAAACGCCGTTTTGTTATAATTTATAATAAATATTTTTAACGAATATAATATAAATGAATAGTATTATAATAATATTTATATTATAAATAGACGTGAGTTACATGTCCTTCATAGTTTAACCCAGCGGTTTCCAACCTGTGGGGCGCGCCTCCTCAGGAGGACGTACAACTGTCTCCAGATTCCAGAATTATTTTCAAAATAATCCAAAATGTATGAAATGATGTTGAAAATTAACATTGTTTTATATATATTTTAACAGCAATCAGAACCTTACGTCCTATGAGCTGTTGGGCTGAAACTTCTCCTTTAAAGGAGAAGAATTCTTCGTTTTTTTAGATGGTAACCCAATGGTTAATCCATCCATATTTGATGATTTTTTGTTATTTAGATTTAATCTAATAGGGCTGACTTTTTATTGGTGCAGCAATGCCAGCAAGGGCTATTTTCACTTAGAAATATACTGCTATCTATATTTCCAAGTGAAAATCGTTGTCACTGCTGCCTGACAACAGGCTGCTCGAAGTGGGTATCGAACCCGGGACCTCTGATACCTACGGGCGAGCCCATAAACAAAAAATAATTAGTTTTTATGCATGTTGTTACATAATATTATTACATGCTGTCTGTTAATTTGTTATCGATTGTTTGTTATCGTCTGTTTTCTGTTGTCAATTTGTAGTCTGACATTTATAAAATTAAAATGTTGCAAAAATTAAGGGGTCTCCAACATTTTTTTTATTAGAACAGGGCGACGCGCTGCAAAAAAAGGTTGGAAACCATTTGTTTAACCCTAAAGGTAATTTTCCCGTGTATGCGCAAGAAATTCATAAGCACCGATGCCATAATGCAACTTGTACAATTAAAACATAAGATTAATAGAATCGTAAAAATTACATTTATTTTGTTCTAATTTGTATATTAATTTATGTATTATTTACCAGGTATATAATGATAGCCTGCCACGCAAATTATTCACGCATCTATTGTCCACTTTCTATATGGTTGCAGCTAATATTAATATGGGGAGTTTCATTCGCAATGATGGTATGTAAATGATTTTCGAAAATTTATATATCATTTCGTTCAACACGTTGAGCCCGGCGCAAAATTTGCTGTCCTTTCCATTAAGCCGGCAGTGACGAACGGTCGGCAACGTTTACCACATACCACATTTTGGTATGGAATATTACAATAAATTTCTTTATAAATTAAAATTATATTTAACCGCATCGCATTTCATTAAGACTAATATTTACCATCCCAACAAAATTCTAGTGCCGGTCCTCCAAACGGAGGGTTGACTGTCGCCAGGCTTAACGTGTTAAAGAAGTATATTAATCATATAAATCTCAAATAAGATAATATTTCTTACAATAGCAGTACCTTACCAATTTCCTAATTCATTTTTTACCCAGGTACCTCCATTAATCGGTGTTTGGGGCCGACTTGGACTAGATGTAGCAACATTTTCTTGCACAATTTTACCTCTAAACGGACACTCGCCTAAGAAAACTTATTTTCTTGCCGGATTTGCACTGCCGTGCTTGGTTATAGTTATCAGTTATTCTTGCATATATTGCTTAGTAACAAAATCAAGGAAACGTCTCGACAATCATAGGTAAAATAAGGAATTACATTTGTATCGTTAATAGAAAACTAATAGATTATATTTTAAAAGAAAACAGTCCCGAGAAGTCAAATCAAGATCTGCTATGAATAGAGAACGCGATGATTCTAGATTGACGTTTTTGATGTTGACGATATTCATAGCCTTTCTTCTATGTTTTTTGCCATTGACGCTGGTTAATGTCTTTGACGACGATACGACATTACCAACTCTTCATGTGATTGCCTCTGTCATGGCATGGGCAAGTAGCGTTATCAATCCGTTTATATACGCCGCCAGCAATAGGCAATACAGGTAAATAATATGAATCATATTTAAAAATTTCCAAAGCAGGTTGTATATTATCATTTGTTCATACCTTTTAGATCGGCCTATAAGAATTTACTGGACCATGTTTTACAAAGACATTCTGGTTTAAAATACTCATCCCAGCAGCCTCCAACAAGTAACAACAATGCAAATGTTACTACGCCGTCCCAAAGCACTCCGCTATCTGGTAAATCTGGCCCAGGTGTTGTGTTTCAACCTCCTGCAAAATTGCCCAATATTATTAAAAATGTACACTTATGAGGTAGTTTTTGGCAGTATTATTATTTATATCATAAGTGATGAAATAATTAGTCTTAAAATTAGATGTTACAAAGTGTGTCATCAAACGAATGAACTATCTATGAAATTTTATATTTATAATTAGATTTAGTAAATCACACTTTTTATGAAAACAATATTATTTTATATTTATAATATTCTTTCCAAACGATTTTTTTTAATTATTTAACCGTTTCCACTCGCGAATTGCGAGATTTGCCTGTGGAAAGGGTTAAAAGTATATTAATTAATATTTAATGTGAAACATAACTATCAGACCAGAACTTCATTATAAAAAGCGATTAATGTTTATGAGCCTTAATATGATTTAGTTGTGACGACCCAGTGGTGTAACTATATTATATTTACCAAAACGCTAAAATCAAAAGACCGGTTTAAAAACCGGTTCTCGTATTTGTTTAGAAAAAACTCGGAAAAACAAGCCGGTTCGTTGCGATTTGGGTTCGGCTGTTTATAATAATACATACAATATAACCTTGTTTATAATAATACATATAAATATTCATACAAAATTAGAAAAAGAAACAGAATTTAATTTTTTTTTTTAATACGTCAGCCATTTTTTTTAAACCCGGAACGGAACGCGTTCCGGCCCAAAAAGGAAATGCCGGAACCACTTCCGGGGCGTTCCGGCCCAAAAGCAAAATGCCGGAAGCACGTTCTGGGGCGTTCCGGTTGGACAAAACCACGGGTAACCACGGTAGAAAATTTATTGTATCGACGATATTGAATGAATTTTGAATGAAAAATTAGACTTTTACATTTAGTAATTGAAAATTGTGTCATCAAACCATCCATGAAACTTTATATTTATACTTACAATTAGATTTAGTAAATCACTTCTTTTATTGGAGCAACATCATTTAATAGTTATAGTATTCTTACCAAACGTTTATTTATAATTATTTTAACGTATATTAATTAATATTTAATGCCAAGCATAATGCATCAGACCAAAGCGTTTTATATTCACGAGTACATAAAAAGTACTATTTCATATATTACATAATATGACCCTAAATAATAAATAATTTCATTGTGAGAACTAGTGGCGTAACTACACCTTTTGGGGCCCGGGACAAATTCTAATGATGGGGCCCGGGGCAAATTTCATTGATGGGGCCCAGGGCAAATTCTTTGCATGAGCCCTTATCAGTGAAAATTGTTCTAATTTTAATTAACTTTTAGGTCGGGGGGCATGGTATTTTGCCAGCGCTATGCTATAGTTACGCCGCTGGTTACAGCTATTTCTATTTTACGTCTGTAAATATTATTAAGTATCTTTATGAATAATCAATTGATTAAATACTATGCTATGTTTTGATTAAATTAATATAATAATTTAATTAAAAGAAGTATCAAGAAAAAATAACTAACAACAGCGAAATGTTACCAGAAAGACTTGTAATTGCTTGCGCAACAAAATAAAGTGATAATTTCAAATAACGTAATTATAATTACACTACGTATTTGATGTAAGTTATAATGCATAATTTAATACCTATATAAACCAAAATTAGATCATAATATATAGTAGTAAGTTGTTTTCACTATCTCGCTTAATACGTTTTGCCGCTCAAGAGGCGTTTATAGTAAGGTCCCTAAGAAATCGTTTTAACGAAGTTTTACTGATAATGATAAAATATTATAGAAATTTGTTATGCTTTGAATTGATGTGGAAATACCATTATTACTAAATAGCGGCTATTAATTATGTTACATGTTATGACAAAATCCAAATAATGATTAAATAAAAATTACTTACGTAAATGCAACTGACATATTGAACTTGAGTATAAACTTCACAAAAATCGTTTGCACTATTATAGAAACTATTAAACTAAACATGGTATTTAAAGTAATAAATAATATAATAGTTTAAAACTGACCACAAATTATTATTAGAATCACTTTTATCACAACCAGACGTTTGACACCAACTGCCGGCCATTTTTGCATCGTATTTGAAGTTTAAGAAACACACCATGTGATAGAATCAAAAATTTGTGCAAAAGGATAGGCAATAAATGTAACTAAATAGTTATTTTTATTAACTAAACAGTTCACTAAATATTAATGTATTAACTAAGTAAATCCAAGGATTTATGTTACATGTCATCAACTGTTGAATTGACTGTTTTATTATAAAACAGTCTAAAACCATTTGTTTACTTCTTATTGGTACTTCCTTAAGTACAGGCCCGAATTATCACGGATTACGGCAAAATCTACTTGGCAAATATATATGGAATAAATACTTTATAATCCAAATGCGCTCCAAAACATCAATAAAAAAATATTACTATTATGCCATATAAATAAATCCCTATATAAATTTTTTAGGTTTCCTTAAGTTCATTTTTATATAATTTTTGTTAATCCTTTTTACAGCCTTTAAATGTAAGCTTTTCATAAAAATTTTCTTAAATGATATTAAATTTCTAGTAGTTCTACCTAATCAAAATTAAATAAAATGCCTTAAACTAAAATGATTAATAAGGTTTACAACAAATATAAAACAAAGTACAATTCCTCACAAAAAATAAAGCATACAGTACACTTTTTATTACTATATTTTTCATATCGGCTTTCCTGATGCATAAAAAACTAGAGTACCTAACAAAATTAATAAAATACATAGACATTGATTTAAGAAGTAAAGCCTATTTGAATAATAGTTGTTTATTAATGATCATTTACACATGAGCCGTATCTAATCACACTATTAAATAATATTTGAACCTTAAGAACAACCATTATCGGTTAGAATATAAAAACTTCTAGACACACATTAATATACCAGAAAATCATTTTTTATTACTTAACTAATTTCACCATATTCATAATTTATATTTTATATTTTTATTATAAAAATGACCACACTCAAACAGAAATAAATCTATAAAAATTAAGTTAAATCTTCAAATAATATCTAATTTATATAATTGCTATGAAGTATTTGATGATTTTTGCATCTTGTCCTTTTATTTTTCAAATATATATCAATTTTTATTTCAGGTATCTGTTCTTTGTCAGTGTTGTAAGTAATTATCTAACTAAAGTTTGTTCATATTATGGATTTTGGTATTAATTAGTACCACTAAATAAATTTGTTCACAAATGGTAAATTCAATTTAACAAAATACATAATATGAAAATAAATATATTTGGTTGCAGAACTATATGATTTCTTTGACAACCATTAAACACCTTATTACATATATCAATATTTTTTTTATAAAAATGACGTTAAACTACAAATAACACATTAAGGCTTTGTAACATTAATTCAGATTTCTGCCCAGTGTGGGAATTTCCAATGACTTATAAAATTATGCCAAAATAAATGAATTTATTCCAAATTTTGTTTTTCTACTGTTTTTATATAAAAAAATAATTATTTGTTGTAAGAAATGGTTTTTATTCCCACGAATAATTTAAAAAAATAAACAACGCCGTCAATATAAAAATTTATTTTAAAAACCCATTAGAGCACTGGAAATTTATTATGACTGGGATAAAATTGATGTTAATAAGTTGGTGTTTAGAGGCACATTTAAAAACTTGGGTGCTTCACATCTACCTTTGTAACATTTATAATAATATTTGACACTGGTTTCACAACTTAATCTTACAATAATAATGAGAACAAAATTTCTATATATATTGAATTCTATAACAAAAACCAAATTTAGGTAAATTTACAAAATTTCAAAACAATTTCGTTAAGTCAAAAATTAAAATTTGACTGGTGCTATGCGCACATATATAATATTAAATGATTATAATATATCATGGCATGATGTATGTGTTTACTTATCACCATTACAATGCCTCCAAACAAAGTACTAAAATCTATATAATCGTTTCTTACCATTCTCTCCTCATATTTGTATAAATACCACAAAAATGTATATGATCCAATTATATTCTGTGCGCACATACGTGAGTACATATAATATTACTTAAGTTTATTTATCAATCTGGTACACAAATATCCATATCAGATGCAGCATGTCCATTTTCAGGCTAACTCTTGCACCATAACAGTTAATTATAATATAACTACCTCTTAATTTAATGGTGTAAGTGGGTATACCCTTAACCTGTGGGGCAGTGAGTTTAGACCTATCTTCTGTTATAGACAGTCAGTCTTAAATCAAAAACATTCGCATACAGGCCCTTCTAAGAGTTCCAGCCATTGTCGCTGGTATCTTCAAACACAAGAAAAAATTATAATAAAATCAATATTTCTTCTATGCTTTAATATTAATTGAATACAAACCTGTAGGTCTATTGTGAACTGGTTTAGGTCCCCATAAACGAACTGTGCAGTCATCTGAAGCAGAAGCTAACATATTAGGATACACCGGGTTCCATGAAACACAATTAACAGTTCTTGAATGTCCAGTCAATGTTGCTATTGGTGCTTCATGATTGATATGCCATATATATACCTATTAACATAAAAAATATATTGTGATAAAGTTCTTTTTAAAAGAATATATAAATAACATACCTTTGTATCTTCACTACCACTGGCTACAAAGTCATTATTAACGCCACCGAAACATGAGTGAATTGTGAAATGACCTTGACTTAAGCCATGAAATTTCCTAATAAGACATTTATCTTCTAAATCCCACAGATGTACACCTTGAGTGGCAACATTCAGCAATGCCAATCGATCGGTAGGATCAATTGTAAATGCCATTACAGGGTGTTCCTCTTGTATACTGTACATAAAACACATTCAAGCAATAATTAATGGAACAATACTACCAATTGCAAATTCAATTTATTTAAAAAATATGCAAACAATGTGTATGTTTAAAATATCTAGTACTTACATATTAGAATCAACAAGATCTTCAAATACATAAGAACGTACTCTTCTGTGGGTATCGGCGGCTAATACCGTTTTACCATCAGATCGACAAGCCAGAGCATTAATTCTTATACCTTCCCAATTATCAACTATGCCACCCTAGTCATAAAAATATGTACATGAATATTTTCTGAATAACTGTTTAACAATTTTTTAAAACAAATATTTATGTATTCTAGTAACAATGTATAAACTACTTACGTCTAAGTCACATTTATAAAATTGGCCACGGATGCCACCAGTAACAAATTTAGTACTATCCTTATGCCATGCAGCTGATGTAAGACTGTCATCATTTGAGTGAGTCATTTTAACTCGAAGCTCATCCGTCTGAAAATAGAAAACGATTCATAAAAATAATGTTATTTTTTATTCTTATTTATCAATTTTAATCTTTATAAGTTTGTATAGGTGCACATACTTCCATATTCCAGAGCCACAGTTCAGGACAGTCTTCTGGACCAACTGCTATTAAATATTTTGAATCAGGACTCCAGGATAGAAATGAAACACCATAAGAATGTCCCTCCAATGTTCTTCTATGTGTTAATTGACAGCGAATCGGATCAACATTCCAAATAATAACCGTAGTGTCTTTGGAGCCAGTGGCTAACTTTAAACCATCTGGAGAAAACTTGCAGAACCATACCTGAAAAAAACAAGATATTTTTATTTATTTATATTATAAGCCACATGACAATAATATTATAATTTGATTCTATTAAAATTTGTTCTTATAGTGTAATTGTCAAAAATTTAAGAATATTTATTATTTGATATTTAAGAATATTAATATTTATCACTTATTGCTTACCTCATCACAATGGTCTGCAATTGTTTGGACATGGTGCATTGGAAAATTATTTGTGGGACATACGTGGTCAATTAGTAATGAAACAGTCTCCATTGTGCTTTCCCTTGATGTATTATGGTAACTACAAAGTTTCGCTTGCATATCAATTGCTTGGGACAAAAGGGTTTGCAATCTTCGGGGTGGAAGCATGATAGTTGGAGGTAAAAATGCCTGTAGACGTTCCATAAGACGTGTGCGTGATTTACTGCCTTTACCTTCCCTGCAAAAATTATCAAAAAATATCAAAGTTTGTGACCTTATAAGATGATCTTCACATACTATTATTACATTAAATACAACATTTAAGATAAGATTACTAATATTTGTTGTATATGTTGGTTATCTAACATACTTGACTTTTTTAATTTAAGATACAAACAAAGTTCATATTTAAATCTATAAAAGCATAAGGCTTTTCCAATTTTAATTGAAGATATTATTTACAAAATATAATGAATCAAAAGCAATTACAATCAAATATGATAGATTTGTTTATTTCTCACCAAGAAGCCCTTTGATATAACTCTGCAGAATCAGCACACATCATATAAGAAGAGAGCTGATGAACTCGAGGCGTATTATGTTGTAATGGAGTTAATTCATTTCGTAGTACATGTAATGCATCTAGTGGACGTCCATCTTCTAAGTGTTCTAAATATTTTTGTTCCAATAACAAAAACTTCATTTCCTATTATAATAACTATATGTGTTATCTTATCTTAAAAATTTCAATTATTTAAAGTATTTTATTTACCACTAAATTATGTTTTGTTCCAGGTTCATTTTCTAATAATGTTTGCAGTTCCTTCAAGTCATGATCAGCTTTAGACCAGTCACCTTGCATGACATGTTGTCTAAACATGGATGCAGCAGGATGCTCCAAGCGACATCCTGATTCTTGCATCAATACATCTGCACTATGTCTATATTACATACAGCATATTTATTATATATATATATATATATATATATATATATATACATATATATATATTAGAAGGTAGAGTCTTGGATTTGTAAATATATTGTAGAGCTTCGAACGAAGAATCCAAAAAGTAATAAAAAACAAAAAAGTTTTTTAAAAAAACATTTCTTTATTTATTTACTGTCGACGTTTCAGAACTAGGTACATTTCATCTTCAGGACATCTGTCAAGAAACATGATCTTGATAAGATTTAAGCAAACAATATGTTCAAGAAAAACAGAAGATGATAAGATGAATCATGTAACAGGTTGTGATCCGATCTAATGTTAACACATTAGAAGAAAGTATGAGACAACTTTCCGCAAATAACCTCTTAAAGATGCAATTTTCATAATATAAAATTTTAGAAATGATATTAAATGAGTGGGCCTTTTCGACAGAGTGTTGTACCATGGTACTATTGAAATTTTTTTGTTTATGGTGAACCACGCTTAATTCATGTTGCCTCATTCTTTTGTGTACGTATTGTGAGGTTTGTCCAATGTATTGGAAAGAACAGTCGTTGCAAAAAACAGAATTTTGGATTCTTTAATCGAAGCTTTGCAAAAATTTGCCATATGTACACACACACACAAACATATACATATATAAGATTTAGACTTTTTGTTCGACATTGAAACATATATATATATATAATAATATATATGTTTGTATGTGTGTGTACATATAGAAATTTTTTACACAGCTTTAAAAACTCGGATCAATATAAATGTACAACAACAAATATAAAAACAACTTACGAATAAATGTTAGCCATTGTTCATAATCAATAAAAATAAATCAGTATCTTCTTTTGTTTTGAATAATAAATCCAAAGTTCATCTGTCTTTTGTTTTAATCAACTGAATTATAAATAGCAATGTATGATATCAATGAGCTATCAATAAGCGATTCTAAATACAATATACTTGCGCAAAAAAAAAGATTTACAATAAATAAAGTAATAATATGGATGACTTTCAACACGTTACAATTAAATCCTTATTCTGTAATATATTTTTAATGCGATATTTGCAGATAAAATAAGGTTCTCTGTGCAATCTGCTCAATTAATCAGAATTGAAATATTGATTTATTTCAATTTAATAAAAAAAAATCAAATAAAAATTCTTACTCAAGTCCAACTGATCTGAGATGTTGTCCAATTATGCGAACAATATCCTGGTTGACTTTATCCATGGGTATACGAGGGACTTCTTTCGGTGCATCGGTCTCAGCCGTGTGTCCATTGCCATTGGCCTCAGGGGCGGATGAACCAGCCCCATTTAACTGCAAGCCATTGGTACCTTGCTGCATTTCCAAAGAAGTTTCAGACAATGGACAAGACTTGCGACACCTCTTTCGTGGCGGCTGGTGCCCCGCACCGTCGTCCCCCGAGGAGTCAGTGGAGGCCAGGCTTGTTTCTAAAGACCGCCGTTGTTATTTTCTTATAAATAATTAGGTTATTTAAATCACACAAATTATTACACTATCATTCTAAAGTATAGAATTGCCATTTACGCAAGACAGCTGAGCGATATGACGTCACAATGAAGAACACACACACTGTAAATATTGTAATTTCAATTTCAGAGTTTTTTGAGAGTAATATTTTGAGGAGAATTAATATGAAAATATAGTGTTATTTGCACAATGTAATATATTTTATAGAGTATTTATTTTAATACGTTCATATGGCATCATGGCGAAGCAACAACATTGTATTATTTTTCATAGAACTGCTGTAGAGATTCCGAGGCCAAACTTCTCCATATACAAAAACTATCATTATAATGAATGCTACAAACAATTTGAATGAAGCAAGTTCTCATACAGCGACTTTGTAAATGTTTTTATAATAAACTTTGACTGAATTAGAATAATAAAATATTCTAATGTAAATTTAAATTGAAAAATTGTTTCTTGTAAAACAAAATATACATAATAGAAAATTTATTCTATTAATAGCACAAGAAAAATAGTCTCCGCAACACTTAACACTGACGCTGACAGAAATTGTTCTGAAGTACTAATTACCTTCGACGATATTAATACAAAAACGTAAAATATACGTTATATATTGAAATAAACATCATGAATCACATCTCAATATAAATCATTTTAAATTCCAATTTTGCTTTCATTTTCTATAAAATATTGAATAAAATTACTTAACCTTTTCATAAGAAAATTGCGTACTTCGATTCCTTAAAACACTTTCTTTTGCTGTAAACTTCACAGATATTTAAACGTCAATGTCATTCTTCAATGTTTTGATCATATTTGTAAATACAAATTTTAATATATTTGATATTATTTTAGTATTTTGACTTACCTTTATCGAACCTGTGATATAATTTTAATAAAAATAAAACGATGGTAACTTTTATTAGATTATTAAAACTTTGTCATTAGTTTTGTTTGCATTATAATGAACTCATCAGTAATTTGTTTCAGTCTCAAGCTAATGTAAAGGTCTGTGATATTGGTCCAGAAGTTAAAGAAGCTCTGAGGAAATTTCGATTCCGAAAGAATAACAATAACGCTGCCTTAATATGTATATTTTCTTTGCCATTTATTTTCTATTTAAATTTATTTGTGAAAAATAAACTTATCATATCACTTGTTTCCAGTGAAAGTTGACAGGGAACGGCAAGCTATATGCATCGATGAAGAAATAGAGGATGTTGCATTAGAAGATCTACAGGATACTTTACCCGGACATCAGCCGAGATATGTCATTTACAGTTACTGCATGGAGCATAAAGATGGCAGACTTTCCTATCCGATGTGTTTCATTTATTATACTCCAAGAGATAGTCAGGTTTTGTACATACTATAAAGACTACCATCAAAAAGCAGACTTTCATCTGAAATCCATTGCTATTATATTCTTTGATGAAATTGAGAACAAATCAAAGCACTGTTCATATTATCAACTCATTTCATTTTAACATTTTACTCAAATGCTTGTTATACATGTATACAGCTATATCTGTTTTAAGAAGTCATAGATTGCTGCAATGCATTTGTCAAATCTATTACTTTTCCTCTCTTTTTGTTTTATAAATATTGATATATATCATTTTTAAACAGCCACTAATATCTATGGATTGTTTATTCTTTTGTTTCACTATCTTAAATGAAGGAGCTTTTTGCCCATATACTGTAAGCTTATATATAAATATCTATATTTATATATATTATTTATAATTGCTATTTCTGCAGATGGAACTGCAGATTATGTATGCTGGCACAAAATTGGCGCTTCAGCATGAAGTAGAATTAACTCGTTCATATGAGGTACGTGAGCTAGATGAATTAACAGAAGATTGGTTACGTGAAAAATTATCTAAATGATTATTTAAATTATTTAGATAAATTGCATTTATACAGTACCCCAAAAGTATTTGGTGGATTTGACCAGTACAGTAACTGTATGGTATAAAAATATTTTAATTATCTTATTTTAGAATTGATGTTAATTACAAATACGTAATTTGTAATGCTTTATATGTCTATATACACAAAAATATATTACCTCATATATGCTATTATATATTAGCATAAATTTTAATATACATGAAAACTTAACTTTTTATAACTGATAAAAAAAGCCATTCCATATATACCTATACTGCCATCTTTTTTATATGAATTTAGGAGAAGTTATAATTAGAAACTTGATAATTTTTTTAAATACATACATATATATATATATATATATATATATATATATATATATATATATTAACAATAGTCTGCACAATTGATATTTAACTTTTAGGTCCATAAATTATGCTAAATATTTCTGACATAACTTGTATTTACATAAAAATTATAAATCTAATATATTGTTTACTTAGTTCAAATTTAACAAATTTTTTGTAATATGAACTTCCGAATTTGAAGATCTTATTCGGCAGATTGTCTTTAAATAATTATTTGTAATAAGGGCCACATAATGTATTCAATTAATAATGAACAACAATAAATAAATATAAATTAATGAATTAATTATTTAACATACAATGTTAGTGCAAAATATACATACAAGTCATAAAATTCCAAACTTATATACAATTAAGTTAATACAAACCAAGAAAAATGTTGATCTTTATACTATATTATACACCACCTATTATAACTTAAAAAATATGACTATACAACATTTATCTTACAAATATGATAGGTATCTACAATGAATACATTTATTTTGTAACATGACATTTTTTGTGACTTTGAATATAAATAATTTAAAATTTCTTTGGAAATTGTCTTAGGCTTGTATCAATGAGATTATCATTCTGAAAATAAAACTAATTAGAAAGAACATCAATATTTTATAATACATATTTCTAGCTTTATACATACCCATAAAGGTAATAGAAAAATGATAATAAATATACTGCTAATTTGACCCAACCTTCTCGTTGGCATCGATTTAACATGTCTGCATTCATAATAGATGTCGGATCATATAGACCAGGCCCCGACATTACTGGCCTTGTGTGGTACCTTAGATTTAACAAAGTTTTTGATAGAATTTTTCACATTAAATAATATGTTTAACAAAGAACGAAATATACCTGTACACATGGTAAGCTATGAGTGGGACA